TGCGCAGGAAATGCAAAGGATCTGACAATCTGAACTAAGACTTGCAATAGAACGAGTAATTAGAGTAGAAAAAAAGTAGAAATAACTTATGGTTAAAAGAATTCAAAAGAGAAAGAGATGGAAGTAGAAATTAAAGATATGAGATAAGTTGACTAGGAGACTGAATACTGATAGTGATTCATCACGAAACTAGGAAAGCTTCCACTAGGACAGACTCGAGAAAGACAAATACTCTGCATAGGTAGAGAGAAAAACCCTATAGCAATAGAGGACCTCAATAGTAAGAGTTCACGAGTTACATGTGTCATTCTAATTACGACACCAGAAATTAAGCTAATTAAAGATATTTCTCATGATTATCAAATGAATCAAGTGGAATTGACTTTATTCAACAAAATTATTGTAACATATTGCATGATAGAATCGATTATAACCCTTCATTTTAATGTGATAGCTTGTTTGTTGTGTATTAATGCAATTTGCATTTACTTTGGGAATATAATTTGGTGATTTAATTGAGACAAAAACAAAGACTAAATTATGTAGTGCGAAATGATAGGCAAAGTTTGAATAATAAATAAGGGTTGATAGGCTCATTGTGAAACTCACGTTTTTGTCCATACCAAGTAACACTGGTGGAATCTGTGTATGATCCAATTGAACGAACTATGTTCAACGATGTTTGTCGGCTAGTCGAGCATTGATATTCACTAGGTGTAGATGAACTATGTTCATTGCGTGATGAAGAACCTTGGGTGGTTTGATTGGACTGCCTATTTGATGTGCGCCTAGATATTTTTTGGCTTATAATATACACAATTAATAAGGTTGATTTATATAGACACGGAGTACAATTATATACAAATTTGACAAGACAGGTATTGCTTACGTCTAACATAACTTGACACTGATAAAGTAATGATATGACTGACATAAAAGTTCAATGACAAAGGACTGACATGACTTGACACTATACTGACAACACTGATAAAACTATATCAGTGATTTACAATGATAACCAGTATTTAAGATATGACATTGGGAAAAACAATTGCACATTACTGCATTTGTTAATCTTCATCAGACATATAATCATTTGAAAAGTATTATGCATTAGACAATACATTGTTTTGCTCAACTAATGTCAACTCTCGTCCAAATGCAAATCTCATCATGTCCTTTGCTAGTTGGAGCATGTAATAGCGACGCTGACGCACCAACATTTTATTATTCTCTCTTCAAACACATTTTACTGATAATTCGTAGTACTCTCTATTCTGGCGTTGCATTGTTAGTGATCGTCTATGAGACACTAATATGCCAAATTCTCTTAGTTATGTGAATAGTTTGTCTAATTGATTAGCATGNGGCTCCAAGTGCTCTATTGGTAAACCCTCCCTCCTACATTCCATTCTATGGAAAACAATAAGGACATGTCTTGCTTTCCTAGGACTTTCCTCAAGTTTGGATGCAAGCCAAACACAACTAGCAGCAACTCTCTGCAAGCAATCAATATCAAGTTTCATTTGTGCTATTTTCAACTGAATTTAAATATTTGTGTAATAAAACGAACCTTCACATTAAACCGAGCAAATGACTTCTTACAATAAAAACGCTGGAATAAAACCTGACCGGTGGCCATCACTGCTTGAGGTCTGCAGGGACAAAAATTAAGGAAATACACCAGCTAAACGTAGCAGAATAGACAAACAGTATCATTGATTTAATGCCAAAAAGAGATAGTTATGTGGTACACCGGAATTAGAGCAATCTTACTTTCAACAACATTGCAAATTATTTTTGTATTGCATTGCAAGAACACAACATATGAAAAAGGATACAATCTTAGTAAAATGCCACTTTCTTGGATGAGATCACAGCCATAGATTCTAAGGGTTTTTTCAGTGGCTTCATCTAGTCCATCTTTCCTAGAAGGTGAGTTCTTTAGCTGCTCGTCCGTAAGATAAAATGTGTCAATTGCCGTGTAAATCATCGTTGAAGGAGTTCAAAAATCCAATAAACTGTCACAAAGAACAAACCAAATTTGTACAAATCCAAATTCAACAAACACAAAAGAAAGAGAGACAATAAATCAAACTTATACACGTCAAAGACAATATGCACAACAAAAACAGTTGCCTTTAGCTTTTTAATAATAGAATATCAACAAAATTCAGATTCAAGTACAACAAAACTCAAAATCTTAAGTACCAAAATTGCATATTCAGCTTGGATTTTGATTCAAGCAAAAAACAGAAAAATAACATATTCAAGCAAAAATATAAAATCTTGGCAAGCAAAAAACATCATCATCACAAGTTTCAGAAAAACATATGGACAGCAATATTTGGAGTGCATCAACCACAATCAGATCTTGAAGCATGAATCTAAACAACATAGACCCAAACTAACCTAGAGCTATAGAATCAAAGTGAGATCCTACTACTTTGCAAATATGGTGAGACTGAGAAACAAAAATGGAGTTGAGACAGAGAGGGTCCGATGATGACTTCGTATCTACCACTGCTTCTTCAATTTTCAGTCCTCTTTGTCTTTGGTATCTACCACTGCTTCTTTCGGCTTGGCACAAGTGTTGATGACAAAAAAAAACCTCATGGAAAACAGATCTAAGTCTTTGAAGTGCTCTGAACCACATATGGCAAAGAGAAAGAGAGGCGACTGTGGGTTAGGATTGAGAGAGAGAAAGAGAGGAATGTGCCGCTATCTCGATGCATTTATAGGTTTGGGCAACCACCTAAGATTTTATACCATATAAATTACCCGTCCCGTTTGGTACAAATTGATTGTCCAGTTCACACGGGTTCAATAGAAACCAGCCGAGTTTTCAGGTCAACACTGGTGGCATGTTTGGATGGTTTTGGTGTAGGAGGATTAGATTGGTTTTACCTGTGCAGGCGAGGCTTCAGTTGATCCTAGAAAACAGCGGCAGCGACGCGAGGAGTTAATTGGGAGACAGATGCAAAAGGAGGTGATCTTGTTGCTGACTGAGTCTTAATGTCACTCCTGGCTCTCAAAATGCTCAATTAGGCTTTCCACAGATTCCTATTAACCAAGGCTGCTAGTGCGTGCTGTTAGCAATCCAGAATTGTCTACCTCCATTTGGGAAACTCATTGGCTCCCATTGGCCATGAGGCTTTTTTAGTTATTACAGACTGCATCAGTGGTCTTGATCCACATCCTTAGCCGAGACAAATCAGTATCTTTTTTTCATCACAAATTGGGTTGGTGTTCTGTGTACCGTAATACAAGATCGAAACGAACGCATTGTATCCCAAGTGAAAAGCTAAAGAGAAAAGGAACAAGGGGAAGAATCGACGAGAAATCTATAACATAAAATCGTGAATGAAAAAGCGTGACAAGAATTCACACACAAATCATTTCAATTTTTTTTTTTTTGAGTATAATACACATGTAGGACCCATGGACTAATCATAATGATAATCAAAAATTTATTATATAATTGACTAAACGCCCACAAGTCAATCTAATTCATACTCATGTTTGTTTAAGTAAAATTTTTTTTTCCAACTTATAAATTTTATATTTGGTAGATAAGATATTTTATTAGAGGTAGAAAGGTCATTCAACATAACTATCCTCCTGGGTTGGCATATATAAACCCCCCCCCC